CAGTGTGCACTGGAACTTAGATCGGACTCCCTAGTTCAACATTTTACAGCCCTTTTTTTACTCATATCACCTTTTCTGGTTCAAATAGACATTGATGGCTGCGCGAAACATCCTTGCAGTAATAATGGAACCTGTTCTGACCATGTTGATGGCTTCAAGTGCATTTGTCCAGCAGGTTTTGAAGGATCCCGATGTGAAATAGGTGAGTTAGGTTGAGTCAAGGTTAGGAGAATGGCTGGCACTTCTAAGCGCGTCCCTTGCATCGTTACGGAATCTACACTTTTCCTTTTCCGAACTCCAGCTCGACCTGGGGCCAAATAATGGATGAAGGGCCTTTACATGGGTCCTAATGTAAGACTTTGGCCGTTAGGCGTACAAATTGACAAATCTTGAACGTAATTTGTAAATGAAAAAAGGTTAACGGAAAATTTTTCTTTCAATCACAGAGAAAGGAAACCACAAAATGACACTTTTCTTCACGAATGACAAACAGCTAATTTAATTAATTTGTTTTTAATCTATTGTTATACAATGAGGACCCCGCAACTCTTTGCGCCCTGTTATATTTGTCTTAGCGTAGTCATACTTTGCAAAGCAGGCCCAAAATCTATAAGAGATGAGCTCATTAACCAAATCAATGGCTGCCCAAAAGGCCTCTTAAATATACCTTTTATAATAAAATTGCAAGCATAATCATTGACCAAAGAAACAGTACGACGTACAAGATTTTGGTTTATACACCGCAAATGTAATAAACTCAATTTGACCGCTGTTCATTTTTTATTCCTACTGCAGTCACAGTGGCAGTTAATGGTTCCTGTGAGAACTCAACAGTTTGGCCACTCCTTAATGGGGATGTTATCATCGAGTCGAATCAGATTGGATCTTCCTACCATAATCACATGGACTGCCACTGGAAGCTATCCTCAAATACACGAATAGAACTTGTCTTTATTCATTTCGATCTGGAAGCAAAGCACGATTATGTGGAAATTTACGACGGTGGATCACTCTCCGCTCCTTTGATTGATCGAATTAATGGATCATCCACTCCTTCCCCGGTTACAAGTTCGTCCAAAAAACTTTTCCTACGGTTTAAAACCGATCACTCAGTAATTAGAACTGGATTTCGTGCACGTTTCCGAGGTATGACGCCTTTTAATTCAGTCACTGCTTCGTAAATATGAATAAAATGAGCATACATGGCTCGTCAGACTATTTCCAAAGGTAAAAAATGTTTCCCTTCTCGATTAATTGCCCTAAAACCAAAACCTCAGGTACGATGAATTTCCTGAGTATGTCTCAAGAATACAAATATAAATTATCAAAACATTTCACAAACCATTGAGTTAGGAAACTGGTTTTCGGCGGATGATCTCCGTTCTCAAGATTAATGTTTTTATTCCGAAAATATCTTAATTCCGAACGAAATCTACATTATCTGATTGACCTTCCAAAAAAATGACCTGATCAAAGGACCTCGAGAATTGACCTTCGAAAAATGACCTTGTTTTACATATGTGGTAGAAAAATGCTCACGAAATCGTGAGAATATCTACACTAACACCCTTTCATTAATCCTTTTGTCCAATCTCTAACTCCTATGTTGGCGAGTTCATCCGGTTTATCTTCTGCCAGGGTTAAGAAACTTAAGTTTTGGAAAAGCTTCAAAAATCCTAACCGTAAAGTTTCTGAGCTAAGGAACTGCTTTGGTTTATCAACGAGCAAGTAATAAACTCAATGGATCATCGACGCAGAATTGATTAATATAAAGCTGATTTACTACTTTAGGTACATCATTCCATTTGGAAATAACTGGTGATCCTTGTAATATGAATGGTTCTATTTATGCGATTTATTCACAATCTGCACCATTTTTGTCTAAGTCACATCTTTTCACCAGCCAATGAGAAAGCTTTACAAGAATACAGCAACCAACAGCTTGAGAAACCAAACGAACTTTACGAAAACGAAAAACAACTTTTGCAACTTTCTACAAACCAGCTCACTGAAGGATCAAGAAAACATTAAGCACTTTCTCCTAACCAATCGGAGAGTTTATGGATGTGTTAATAGATTCATAATCATAAATTAGTTTACATATCGAGACCACTTTTCTCTCTTAGCTTTAACAGATGGTGCACTGCGTATAGCCGGTCACAACGCATCCAGTGGAAGGATAGAAGTCTTTTTTGATAATCAGTGGGGCACAGTTTGTGACAGTGGATGGGACCTCGACGATGCCCTGGTGACGTGCAAGCAACTTGGCTTCGACCGGGCTTCCCAAGCCTTTAGTGGTGCCAGTCATGGCCAAGGAATCGGTCCAATATGGATGAATGACGTAGCTTGCTTTGGAATGAGTCTTTGATCTCCGGCTGTGGACACGGAGGATGGGGTACCCATGAAAACTGTACTCATAGTCAAGATGCTAGTGTAACATGTTTATATGATTCTCTTCCAATTCGTTTGGTGAATGGTGGGGCGAGGTACGGTCGTGTTGAAGTGTTCCATAACGGGCTCTGGGGAACAATTTGCGATGTTTCATGGGATATGAATGATGCAAACGTGGCGTGTCGGCAGCTTAGCTTCACTGGAGCTTCCTATGTTAACGTTAGTGCAACATACGGTCAAGGATCGGGTCCCATATGGAGAGATCGCATCAACTGCCAAGGATCAGAGAGCTCACTATTTGATTGTCCATTCACCCAGGAAGGATTTGGCTACTGCAGTCACAGCCAAGATTCAGCCGTAGTTTGTTATTAGTAGAACAAGACTTCCAACTTTTTCAAGTTTAAAACGCCCCTTTGCTTGAATAAGAGCTATGACCCAGCATAAGCGCGGTTATTCATGATCATTTACGTCTTCTAGAAAGTAACTAATATAAGCCATGTCTCAGCATATAAATTAATATAGAACAGTGCAGTTTTTTTTAATAATGTAACAATTTCGTAGAAGCCTTTTCCAATCTGTGACCTCTTTCCTTGAAATAGATGATGCAAACAGAGTTACGCTGAACTCTGTTTTCTTCGTGTGCCTCTTAAAACAATTTAATGTAACCATGAGATCCAAAAGAAAAAAAGCTATAACTACATGTAAATATGCATTACGCACGGTTTTACACTATTTCTTGTACTTTTTTTCATGTTCTAGATTGCGAGGAATATTTTTCCCCTTTTGATAAAAAGAAAAAAGAGTATCAAGCATTGATCGTAATCATTTTACAAATTACCCATCGACTTAATTCCGGTTAAGGATCGAATAGGGAAGATTTAATAAATTAGAACAGGCACACATTTTACAACAGAAATGCAATACACTTTTTATCACCAAACATAACGAGAAAGGTGGTTTGCATCACCAAAGGAGTAGGATTGTAATACCTTATATCGAAAAATAGTTTGCGGTTAGTAATCGTGGTAAATAACACTTCAAAGGAGAACTATAGTTGTTTGTCTCACGATGTTTTGACTTCGTACTATATACAAGTCTTCTTCAGGGAATGAGTTCCATTGAGCATGCGTCACCTATATGCTGTCGTGAGAACTTGATTCGAAGATGTACTATTCACAGCCGTGGAGTTCCATTCAATCAAAGTTGAGCAAAACAAGATTGAAACAATGAACTTCAGTGATTGATATAGTTACGACGTAAGAAACAGTGTCAGATTACTATTTTAATTGTGAAAGATAGCATTGAGCAAGGTCTTTATGGAATATATGTGTTGTTTTTACATTTATTTATGCTTAATAACTTTCTTTGTCGATTAGGAATACCTGTTTTTTTTCCCGCAGTAATTAAATAAATAGAGAGATTAAGCACCACCTATTATTTTCCCGCAAACGACAGAGAGGGTCACGTGACCTGACATTTCCGCGTTTGCCGTTTGCCGGCCGCCGTTTGTACTCGAAGAGGACATTTTTCCCGTTCGTAGGGAACGCGAAAACGTGAGTATTTGCAACCCATTTTTACCGACTATTTCTACATTTTGATCACTTGCTTTTATAGCTAAGCTTCGTTTATCATCTTACTTCTATAAGAACTGCTTGTAAAGCTAATAGAGCTCAAATTCAAGCGGAAAATGCATTACTTCTTTGTATCCATTATTTCTAGTCGCAGTGAATGGCGACCGAGAACATTTGTTCTGCCTTGTCGTCGGGAAGCTTAAACAGACGAACATCGCGGACGGAACAGCAAACGACAAATGGCTGGCCGACGTTCAGCGTTCGCCGTTTTCGCGGTGCTTAATCTAACTAATACCATTTTTAGCTGTGAGAAGACGTTGAAAATTCAACTATAACACGAGGCAAAAGTGATAAATATTCTCATCGTCGTTGCCAGAAAATAAAAAAACAAAAAAGCATCGCAGACTTTCACTAACCTTGGTGCCCCATGTCTTTGCTAATTCTTTTTTTTT